TGAAACGATCTACCAGCAGTCCTACAGGATGTAAAAATTTTAAATCAAATTCTTCATTGCAAAATACAGTATATTTAATGAATATCTGCCTCGGTACAATGGAAGATAGTCGCGCAATTTCGTGGATTAGTTGAGGTTAGATATTAACACTGTTGGATGCCCGATCAGTGGTCTAGAGGTCAAGCGTTCGCGCACGAGTTCATAGGTCATGAGTTCGAATCTCGCAGGCGGGATCGTGGACGCGCACTGTTGAGGAGTTCTATAATGGAATGAAACGGCCATACAATGTTTCCAGGTTTTCGAAGATGGTCTACGATCAATCGATTCATGATCCTAACATTTTCAAAACAGTTGCTGTTAGAAATTGATTTCATCATCAATGCCTTCACTATTGAAAACATAAGTTGTATGCAGTCTTTCGGACCATTTTCCCATTTGTTTGACGTGATTTTACAAAGAGATTTTATCTCAAGTCTTAGCTTTTATCTTAATTGTATTTTACATCAGATACTCTGAGATGAACTGAAATGACTTATACATAGAAACTAGTTTGAGACAACTGTGAACGCTTGAAATAAAAGCATTTACACTTTATGCAACATACATTGAATAATTAAAACATTGAAGGTAATTTTAGCGCATTAAAATTGTTCAAGTCCAGAATACAAATGAATATCTAAATTAAATGACTTTTACGACAATATTACCTCTTTTTCACACGTGTGCTGAAACAACGTGTAGTAAACAGAATCATATTTAGAAGAAACAAGATGATATTGTTATGATCGGACTTCACAGATAGTGAATATTTGATCTGGATCTCTTTTTGTTATTCAAACTTTTGGAGTTTATTTGTTAATATGAATGGACTATGGTCTTCTTTTTCTAAAAAAATCCTGAAGTACTTTTTCTTCAAAAAGCCTTTATTATTTTGTTGTTTCAAAATATTTTAGCTGTTCTAAGTCACCTCAAGAGTCACCTCCCTGAAAAGGCGACTACATCAACTTAAAAAAATAAGAAATACCATCACCATATTTCTTTAACTGATAGATGTATATAACTTTATTTAAATATTTTTGTTTCTACTTCGGCAAATATTCATAGTCACCGATTTGTATTTTTTTTAAATGATAATTGCCAATAGCAAATCCAATTTCAGTGGTTTCATAAAATATATTTTAAACAGTTTTATAATGAAGTTGAATGATAAAATAGAGCTGGCTAATTTTTAATGTTACTCCTCTCTTTCGAATATCTAGTTTTTGAACTTCCTCTTAAGTGAATGCCTTTTGAGAAGTCATGATAGTTCGATGTTGATTAGATGACATTATAAAGAAGACAAACTTAAGAACACTTTTATATTTGTGTTCATCCAATAGCAAAGTGTAACCTTATACTAGATCACGTGGTTACTAACTTTAAGCTTCAAATTAACCTTGTTTCGAGGCTTATTAGTAGATGTTGCCAATGTTTCTTTTTGTTTGCTTATTCAACAGAGTGACCATTCTACAGATCAACTTATTCTTAATTTATTCAAATATTCATTTACTTTTTAAAAATGTATATTGCAAAGAAGAATCATTATTATTTTAAATATATATTAGAAAACGTGACTGGTATTAGACAAGACTTCAGATAACCTTTTATCTGCTTTCGTACGACCATTTGATAATCTTATAAAAACGCCACTGAGATATAAATGAGGCCTTTCAGAAGTTGAACAACAGTTTTTAATTGTACTATTTCAAAACAGGTAACATCTACGGTGATGAATAAAGATCGCTTGATCAAATTCACTCAAAATAGGAAATTAAGTTATAAACGGATTAAATTTAAAGTTTTAAAATGATTGAAGATAGATCAAGCAGAATATAATATCACGTTTCACTATTGTTTAATCACTTTACTAAAATGAGGTCACTATTAGCATGATTGGATGATGAAGATATACCTTTCTAAATTGTGTTCAGGATATTTTATTAAAAAAACAGAATTTGAAGATTCAAAATGTACGAGAAACAAGATAAATCACATAGTATTTAAACTTTATGGTTGAGCAATTAATCAAGTACTATATAAATAAATAGAGTATGCTGAGTTATTCTAAATGTCAAGAGCTACATGGTTTATAAATGAGAACAGTTAACTAAACGATAAACTTTTAGACATCCAAAAGTCTTTCTAATCATCAATGTAATTAAATATATCTTTACTATAGGCTAGACAAGCTTTTAGTAAAATATATATCTCCTGAAATTATGAGTTTTAGATAAATTTCATACATATTTGGTATCGCACAATATTCGAAGTACTAAAAAAATTTTGAAGAATGGAGAAGTAAATGTTCCTAGTCCTTTGTTTTAAATAATCATCAACTTCAGTTAATCAAGAAGTTCCAGGAATTATTACGAAGCTGAAAGTTTAGAATTGGGAAGTCAACGTTAAGTTTTAAACAAATAACAATTTAGGCTAATTCATTCCTTACGATGTTATGTCCCTAAATATTAGTCATATATAACTTCTATGGTGATATGAATTGACGTAAACTGTTTCGACAGTATATATTATGTTTTTACCAGTGATAAATGAAGATAAATTAGAAAATAATCAGTCACATAAATTTTAATTAATTTAATTCACTGATTCAACTACATAAACGTACACATTCTAACATCACATGGGCATTTTCATTGAAGTGTTTCTTTGGTATAAGTTAACAGTAATTTTACAGTTGTTTCAAGCTCAATTCATTCAACTTATTTGAAACCTGACGCTGTCAGCTTATTGTTTCGATTATCGAGTAGTCATAATCTCATGCTCCCATGATTTTTTATTGTCGTCGATTGCTTACATTATTTTATATGCCTACTGAGTCGTCAACTAACTTTTTCTCTTGTTCGTTTTCCTTTCAGATTCTTTCGCATAATGTTCGTCACACTATCTGAGCACACAAGGTGCTTACAGACTAGACTCAAATCAACCAAAGGCTTAACGCTACACTATAGAGTATACGTTTCCTGAAGATACAACCATTTCTTCATTTATTTATTTCATCCTAGAATAATATGAAGCGATAGGATTACTTCACTGTCAAAATAATTTGATGACTTTATATATAAGTATGAATTAGAAAATTTCCTATTCAAATTCACTCACTTTTTAGATCCTATTTGTCAAGCAAGAAAAAAATTTACACATTAATCCCTAACTTGTTCTCCCTGTGGTTTGCCAATTTTAGTTTTGTGATAGAACTGAAACGATCAATTTTCTCATGATAAACAACAAAAAATGTGCACATACTTTAGTAATACGCAATTCATGTGATTTTTGAAATTTTCATAAGAGACGATGCAAAATCCCATAAGAATATATGGTTGTTTTGATAATTGAACATTCATGACCACTTCCTAGTGTCCGTTAGTGAATTACAGCAGAATGACTAAGTGATTGTCAAACTAAGTATTGAAATTTAAACTCTGGTAATAAACGTTAAACAAAAGCCGTTTTAAAGTATTCGGTGCTGTTAATCAAGTGTATAGAAGTTTAGCCCCACCAAAAATCAAAAAGGATAAAACCTTTTTATACGTACTAATATCCCGAAGTTTGCACATGAAAAGCGGTAACCACCGCTCACAATGGTTTAAATTGTTTATTTTTGTTAGCATTTTTTTTAGCAAGGCGCTTTTCTATGAGATAGAGTTGCTGACTACATCCCTAACCCTCCCACTTTACCTAGGCTTGGGATCGACTGTAGCTCTAGAAGAGCTACAGCAGAATACCATCAGCGACAATCTACTTTAGCAGACAACAAACCAACTTCCATTTGAAGATAAAATTGGGAAAAGACGCTGGAAGTGTATAGAACATACATAGCAGAAATCATCAAACTGCGTCACGAGACAGTCCCTAGCTTGGGATTGTAAAGAGGAACGATAAAGGATAAGGCCGAAGAACACACTGCGTCAAGAATTGCAAGCAAATATGAAAAGAATGAATAGTAGCTAGAAACAACTGAAAAGGATTGCCCAGAACAGAGTTCGATGAAAAATGCCGATGAGTGGCCTATACTCCATCATGAGGGGAAACAGGCGTAAGTAAGTAAGTACTGCTTACAATGAAATTAAAATCCACCCCTTGAATATATACTTTGTTGCTTAACTTAATCATCTTTTTGCTTCTTTAATTGCCGACAGTTATACTACAGTTCTATTGATTGATTTGATATATCGTATTTATTTTGTTATCCAGATGGTATAAAATCAATTGTTAGCAAATTTCAAAGGTTATAATTATTGCAGAAGTGATAAAGATCACTAATGAATTGTGATTTTTGAAGTATGCATCAAACATCTGCAGTATAGTCTCCATATATTTAGTTAAGCATATTAGTCAACAATAAATTTTATCATGGATTAATAGTCAATACTTTCTAAAAGGTCTAGAATATCTACTTAGTTTAAAGAAAACGAAATTGGTTCATGTGTAATATTCAATTTATTTGTCTATAGTAAGGCTTGTGCAATCATATGCAATCATAACATGAAACAATACGCAACGAAGATAGCACATGAGTAGTTAGTCATAATATTATTATTTTAATAACTCTATACAATATATTCATTGTGTTTTGTTACTAGGTTATTTTCACATTACAACTTGTATATCTTTTCTAATTTGCCTGTTATAAAGTAGCTATCATTTTTTGTTTTTTGTTTGTTTGTTTTTTATTTTTCAAAAAGAAATATATCTCAAAACTGATTGGTTCTTTTATCATTATGAGATGAAAAAAAAAATAATTTTTTTGATTGGTCATTCATTTTGTCACTTGAAAATCTTCTATATAATATAAATTGAAATTTGTAATAAGAAATGAATTCTGTTAAATATTTTTAAAATTATGTATTATTAATTTATTTGAGTAGTATTGATGTTATTACTAAAAATATTGTTTGGAAGTCAATTTGTATGATAGAATTATTTAAAAAAACTAGACAGAATAAATGAATTATTTATATATAACTATTTATCCATTTAATCTATTTACAATAACAACATTGTTAAGTAAGTTGTTTCATTTGAATTTTGTTATAATTGAATCAGTTTTGAATATTGAAAAAAAGATATATATATATATAGGTATACTAACATATACATATCCGGCTTCAGTTTGAGCACCTGGGCAGTAACACAGCCCTCACACAAATCAAACGAGATTTGTATGGCGCATATATATCTGGTACCCCTTTGTACCAATATTTATGTGTTTAAATAAATAAATAAAATAATATACATATTACCAGTTACTTTATCTGTAGTTGCAATATACTACTAAATTTATCTGGGTTATTAACTCAAAAATTATTCGATTGGAATTTAATTTTACCTGAAAAAAAAAACGTTTAACCGACACTAATTTAAAAAAAAGAATAGATAAATTAAATAGGAATAATATATGTTTGAAAAATCTCAGCGAATGGATTTGAACTAAATACAACGTTTCGAATGGCAATATGGTCCAAGCTTTCCTTGAAAGTTCTTATATAGAATAAATGAATTGTTATCTTATTTTTGATTTTTAAAAATAGTGGAATTGATTTTTTCATTCTTCTTATGGTTAATTAAATCTTATTATACAAGGAAAACTCCTACATAATACAAAATTCAATATAACAAATGAAATCAGCCGGAATTGGTTTAGTATTAAATTATAGCTTGAATGAACTAAGTAATTCTCATATATGTGTTATTTACCACTCGTTATAAGTAAAGTGAAGTAAATTACCTATATACATATAAACAAATCCAAAGACTATAAACAACAGGTTATTAACGCTCTTTTATTTGTGTGATTATGTTTAAAATGTAACAGCAACCACAACGTTTAGTCTTCATGTGGCTGATTATGAACTCAACTGTTTTAAATGTACGAACGTTAATTTACTGGTCACCGCAAGTCATACAATCACAGTGTGTTTTGTGAAAAAGATCTAAATTAAGCACGATTTCTTAAAAACTGTTTTGACATATTAAATTAAAATCCTTGAATATTTTTAAAACAACACAGACCTGATGAAACATAAGGTGACAATAATTCAAATTGATAATGGTCAGAATTTTCAGTTTTCTTACTGATGTTATGCAAATTATAGGATAAACATTAGAATACTGTTTGTTCACTGAATATGATAAAAACGGTCTAATCAAATACCTAACGAAAGATATATTCAAGGGGCGAACTGATAGTTAACGAATGTAATTTTGAAAATGTAATGAATAATATATATATATATATGGCTTGCCAAGTCAAGATAATTTTAGTGATGAAATTATCAGAAAAAAGGCATCTACGAGGTCAACTGCCTAGTAATTTTTTCACGAAACTACAGAATATCTTACTAAAATCTGATAACCATACAGTAAACAGCTCATTTGCAAACTACCAACCAATTGTCCCAATCTTGACTGTTCCTTCTGCAAATATCAGTCCATCGTCTACCGATTTTATTGTTCATGCATTTACACACCAATTACGTTTCGCACCCGTTCTTTCGTTATCAATCTTCTGCTGAAATACATTTTATGCCTGACCATCGTCATATACTACGTATGTGGATATAAGTAACCCACACTACAATGGTGTTTTATTACTTAGTAACTCATTGTACATTCCTTAACTGTTGATAGAAAAACGAACGTGATTTCTGAATTTTGGCAAAATAGAAATTCACAGTAAAATCTGCATGTGTCACAGTCTTTGATTTTTCATATTTATATCCTTTCATTATGGTTTTATTATTATACATATGATGATTTTGTTAATCATTGATTAATTGTTTTAGTGTACCTCAGTTATTATTTTTGCTTAAGTATGAGGCATAATATTTTCATTTCTTAAGTTCTGAAAGTATAAAAGGTAAATACTGAGCGTTTTTTGCCACGTATACCAGATTCAAATGAAAAAATCTTACAGATGTATCTACTTGAGCTTATGGATGGTGACTGGTAGTGGAATCCAGGACGCATGTCCCCATATAATTGGGACTTGTATGCTGAATGTAGTCGCTGAATCATTACGGTCCTAAACATCACTGGGAAAATCCAAAGAACTAATACATATGAATCAGGTGGGCTTACGTTAGAGAAACAAAACGCAGTCTTATAAAAACAAACTGATAGTTATTAGTTAATAAATTCTCACTATATTCATGGAAAAATTTATGAGTGTTATTGCTTAAATTGATCAGGACTGGATATGAAACTATGTCTTATTTATCATTGAATTGTCAATATCGTATGTACGTCTGGTAAATAAATACTTCGTCTTGTTTCACACAAGCTATGCTAAAAAAATACTTCCTTATACTATCATTTATTAACATTGTCATTTAGAAAATCATAATGAAAAGGAAATAACGAAAAAAATCAGGAATAGAAATTCCACTAGTGACAAAATAACAGAGAATTTTTAGTGAAATACTTACTGTCAACTATCACTAGTTGCAAGATGATTTCATTTAATTGAAATATTTCACTTACCAAGATACTTTTGTACTTACAGAGAAGAATAGTAAATAACATCACTATAATTCGCCATAGAGATTCAAAATGATTTGGTCTTAATCTTCAACTCAATTAAAATTGTTTACAATAAAATATACTTTTTATTAATTATAAGGTAATAATCACGTTATATTTTTTTGGCGACATTTACAGTTAACTACACTTTATACATGATGAATAACTTCCATTTTGACTCCAGACTCTATTATGAAGATGATGTTGATAACAATACCTAAGCTGTTTTACAGTTCAGATAATCATTCAAGATCATGAAAAAAAGATACGGATAGACATTACGAGGGGCATCTTAGAACCTCAAAAAATATCAACCCTAATGTTATTTATTGGTAACAACTTATGACACAAAAGTCTGAATTTCAGCATATCGACAACTCTAAACATCACTACATTAGCTAAATTAATTAACTGTCATTGAATGAGTATCATGTTTCTCCCTGGATTTCTCTTCAATTACATATATATATATATATATATATATATATATATATATATAATGATTAAATATTTATTTACTTGTTTGTGAAGTTGTAGTGGAGATTGTTATGTTGAGCCCATTTACCATATTACAGCTTCAGGACAAGTCAATTTGTAGTAAACAGAACACTAGTTGGGGACAATCGAATGTATTTAAGCAAAGATTACAGACTATCTCAGTAAATTCTGATTACCAAAGAATGAACAGTCAATTTGCAAATTAACAATCAATTGTTTCAATCTTCACTGTTTCTTCAATAATTCCATTGTTCATGCATTTTCCAAACGATTGCGCTTCATTTCAGTTCTTTCCTCATCGGTCTTCTGCCAAAATACATTCTATGTCTGACCCACACCATATACTACTTATATGGATATAAGTAGATCACACCACACTCGTCCCTCCTTTAAAGCATTCGTTCATGCGGTGGTTCTGCTCGCCGTGCCACTATCTTCTTCCACTGCAGTCTGTGCCAAACTCTCCGTCAGAATGTCGAGTCTGCGGCGCGCTGAACTCCATAGCTCCGTCGACCTGCCGGGGCACCAACATCCGCATCCACCCGGCACCTGGGACGTTCAACACCCGTACTCCACCGGCCTGCTGAGCCATCTACATCCGATGTCCGCCCAGCAGCCGCACGTCCCACTGCTTCTCTCCGTCGACAGCACCTGCTACAGCCAACGCCTCCCGCCAGAACACTCCACTCGACGCCAACTCTCTGCACCAGACTGCCCCAACTAGCACCTCCACTCCAGACCCGCAGCGGCGTCCGCAGAACAGCACCCTTCCTCCTCCTGGTTGGCAGCGACACCAAATGTAGTAAACAGAACACTAGTTGGGGACAATCGAATGTATTTAAGCAAAGATTACAGACTATCTCAGTAAATTCTGATTACCAAAGAATGAACAGTCAATTTGCAAATTAACAATCAATTGTTTCAATCTTCACTGTTTCTTCAATAATTCCATTGTTCATGCATTTTCCAAACGATTGCGCTTCATTTCAGTTCTTTCCTCATCGGTCTTCTGCCAAAATACATTCTATGTCTGACCCACACCATATACTACTTATATGGATATAAGTAGATCACACCACACTCGTCCCCCCTTTAAAGCATTCGTTCATGCGGTGGTTCTGCTCGCCGTGCCACTATCTTCTTCCACTGCAGTCTGTGCCAAACTCTCCGTCAGAATGTCGAGTCTGCGGCGCGCTGAACTCCATAGCTCCGTCGACCTGCCGGGGCACCAACATCCGCATCCACCCGGCACCTGGGACGTTCAACACCCGTACTCCACCGGCCTGCTGAGCCATCTACATCCGATGTCCGCCCAGCAGCCGCACGTCCCACTGCTTCTCTCCGTCGACAGCACCTGCTACAGCCAACGCCTCCCGCCAGAACACTCCACTCGACGCCAACTCTCTGCACCAGACTGCCCCAACTAGCACCTCCACTCCAGACCCGCAGCGGCGTCCGCAGAACAGCACCCTTCCTCCTCCTGGTTGGCAGCGACACCAAATGTAGTAAACAGAACACTAGTTGGGGACAATCGAATGTATTTAAGCAAAGATTACAGACTATCTCAGTAAATTCTGATTACCAAAGAATGAACAGTCAATTTGCAAATTAACAATCAATTGTTTCAATCTTCACTGTTTCTTCAATAATTCCATTGTTCATGCATTTTCCAAACGATTGCGCTTCATTTCAGTTCTTTCCTCATCGGTCTTCTGCCAAAATACATTCTATGTCTGACCCACACCATATACTACTTATATGGATATAAGTAGATCACACCACACTCGTCCCCCCTTTAAAGCATTCGTTCATGCGGTGGTTCTGCTCGCCGTGCCACTATCTTCTTCCACTGCAGTCTGTGCCAAACTCTCCGTCAGAATGTCGAGTCTGCGGCGCGCTGAACTCCATAGCTCCGTCGACCTGCCGGGGCACCAACATCCGCATCCACCCGGCACCTGGGACGTTCAACACCCGTACTCCACCGGCCT